GTCTGGTGATTGTGGGGAGGAGAGTGTGTCTGTGTGATTGTGGGGTGGAGAGTGTGTCTGGTGATTGTGGGGAGGAGAGTGTGTCTGGTCTGGATTGTGGGGTGGAGGTAGTCTGGTGATTGTGAGGATTGTGGGTGTGTCTGTGATTGTGGGGAGTAGTTGTGTGTGTCTGGTGATTGTGGGGTGGAGAGTGTGTTTGGTGATTGTGGGGAGGAGAGTGTGTCTGGTGATTGTGGGGAGGAGAGTGTGTCTGGTGATTGTGGGGAGGAGAGTGTGTCTGGTGATTGTGGGGAGGAGAGTAGTGGTGGTGAAGGTAAGAGTGTGGATGGTGGTAGTAGTGGTAGTGAGGATGTGAATGTGGTAGTAGTGGTGATGATGTGAATGGTAGTAGTAATAGAAGTAGCAGTGGTGGTGTGGTGTGGTAGTGCTGAAGGTGGTGGAGGTCCTTCGTCAGGGTAGCACGTGATGCCTAAGTTGGCCACTGCATAATTACCTCAAGCAAAGTTGTATGAATGAGCGAGAGTTCTCCAGAGGCTTTGGTGTCCGCCATTGACGACATCAGTGGAGAGGAGTATTTCTGGCGGAGGGGAAGTTGTCCACGGGGAAATTACTCACAAGCAAGTTTTATTTTGTTACCGTGAAATTAGAGGACTGTGTGTTTGTGTGTTTGTGTGTGTGTGTGTGTGTGTGTGGTGACATAGGCAGGCAGGTACAGCACAGGTGATGGAGCTTGGTTATAGGAGAGCCAGATGTGTAGTTCTTTTTACTATAAACCGATGGTGATCTGGTTATAACCCACGTATTGGCTCACACTGGATTTCAATTACATTTTGTCTTCTCAGTGAGGGGTTTCGAACGGGGGATCAATGGACTATTCAGCTGCGGGCGGTAACCACTTTACCACTGTACACTTTTTTTTTAAGTGTGAACTGTGTCAGGAGAAGTGTTGTGTGTTGTGTTTTAGTGGTGGTGAGGGGAGGGTCTATGGTGGTGAGTGGTGGTGAGGGGAGGGTTATGGTGGTGAGTGGTGGTGAGGGGAGGGTGGTGGTGAGTGGTGGTGGTGGTGGTGGTGGTGGTGATGGAGGGGATGGTGGTGGTGAGTGGTGGTGAGGGAGGGTCTATGGTGGTGAGTGGTGGTGAGGGGGGGTTATGGTGGTGAGTGGTGAGTGGTGGTGAGGGAGGGTCTATGGGGGTGAGTGGTGGTGAGGGGAGGGGTTATGGTGGTGAGTGGTGGTGATGGGAGGGTCTATTAAGTCTTTTAATACATTAGCCCAGACTTCGTCTATTTCAGAGATCATTTTACAATCCAATGGTGAAAACAGGTTGTCTGAGACACAGCTGCCATGAATTATGCAAGCCAAATGAGGATCTAACTTGGTCATCCAAGTGGCTCTACATCCTTGATAATTACATGTAGTATGGCCCCCTTGGGTCCTGGGTGAAACTACTACTACTGAATTCACATTCTCTACTAACGGACAATTCTGTAACCGCCCAATGAGCGACTGTGGGATAAGGAGACCCTTGCACGTAGGACTCGATTGTTCTTTATTCGGTCAAAACCTGCAGAGTACAAATTACATATGTTACGTATGAGATAATTAATTCACTCGTACGTCCCTTCACTATTACCAACTACATATAATATATTTGAGTAGAGTGACGGTGTTAAACCATATAAGACTTACGTGTTTCGGGTCTAATGTAGGACTTATTAACTCCCTGACTTGACGGCTCACTGGACGGCTAGAGACTAGAGCTAGTCAGCCCGAGGCAAGGCCCATCTGTTTCACATTTAACACCTCAGCAAAGCTCGTTGTCAACACTCAACAGCAATAACAATAACAACTCAACAACACCAAGAACAAAAACAACAACAATAACAACAGTAATAACAACAACAACACCAAGAACAAAAACAACAACAATAACAACAGTAATAACAACACCAAGAACAACAACAACAACAACAATAACAACAACAACACGTCTTAGCAATGTTGTCATCTACCACTGTGGGATATTTGCGAAGCTCTATATTCATGTCAGCAGCCCAGCGGAGAGTCTCTTGCTTTACTGAATAATTTTACAGGGAGCCTCGCTGAAAGGTCACAATGAAATGACTGAGGGAGTCTTCCCGGAGGAGCTGCCCCCCACTGTCTCTCACTTACTAACCTGTTGTTGTTGTTGTTGTTGTTGTAGTTGTTGTTGTTGTTGTTGTTGTTCTTCTTCTTGGTGTTGTTGTTGTTGTTGTTGTTATTGTTATTTTTGTTGTTGTTCCTTATTATATCTGCTACTTTTACCTCTTACCTCTGATTCTCTCCTCCTCCTCCACTTACCACTTCTCATTACAAACGCGTGTGAGATAAAAAAAAAATATTTGTTCTACCTTGTTTAACGCTTAACTCAAGACATTTTTAATCACACACACCTTGACGTCTAAACTCAACTGGGGTAATATTCTTTGCTCTTGTCTTGGCTTGTATAAATTTACACATTTTATCCTTGTGGGGAGGGGGGTGAAGGGTGAGATAATAACCAGAACCAACGTTGAGACAGAGAGCTTGTAAAAATACGCACGAAGTCTAGGAAAAAAATAACTTGTAAAAACATTCATGTGAAGTTTTTGAAAGGGGGTGAAAATACATATGTGTAGGAAAATGTGTAAAGATACATATGAAGTCTAGGAAACTGGTAGAAAATGCATAGGAGGGATAGGGAAATGGAAAAGGTAAATACTAGGTTGAGCAGAACTGGTAAAGATAAATAATGAGTCTAGGACACACACACAGGTGAGTGTTCAGGTGACCTTGGACAGGTTTTAATAATCTCTCTAGTCCTAATAGACCCCAACCTAATAAAACCAATAGAAATTATAATCTCATAGGACTTAAGGCCCACGAGGACTTACCCGAAACCCGAATGATTAAGTTAGGTTAGGGTTAATGGGGACCAGGGGCCCATTAGATCTGGGGCCCATTTCACCATTGAGCCATTTCCGAGATTGACTCAGGTGTGTCTTCCTTAACTAATTTTCATGAGGTAAAGTTAATTAATTGTTTGTACAAGACAGAGTTAAGTTAGCAATGGTATATTCAGTTGTCAAGACCTCCCTTCATAAAGTCGTCACAGTGAGTATGGTGATGGTTTTAGCGTGTTGGTGTTGTTAGTAGGCGTGGAGACGTAAATTGTTGGGTACGAAAGTTAGGTGCAGTGTGGGAACTTTGGTGTGAGTGTGGGAACTTTGGTGGGAGTGTGGGAACTTTGGTGTGAGTGTAACTTTGGTGGGAGTGTGGGAACTTTGGTGTGAGTGTAGGAACGTAAGTAAGAGTGAAGAGAGTGTGGGAAGGGGGGGAGGTTGATGGAGGGCGTGGGTGGACCTAGATGAAAGTATGGTCAGAATGAAGACAGAAAACAGTGCGTGGACGTGAATGATAAGACAGTTACCGCCCCCACCCACCCACCCACTCCCACCTGGCAAAAGATCAAAGTGGGAGACGAGGCTGGGAGCACCTTGAGTCACTCGGGGTATATATAACACTAAGACGTCGAGGGAAGGATGAGTGTCCCCTTGGCTGCTGAGGGGAGGAGGGAGACTAGTCCACACACACGCACTTGACGTCACTCGTATCTCCAGGGTAATTTACTCTGTTAATATCCTCCTTGTAGTTAATTTTCTTAGACATACATACACTCATGCATATTGTGTGTGTGTGTGTGTGTGTGTGTGTGTGTGTGTGTGTGTGTGAGAGCAGACCAGATAACTTCACGGTGTACCTCTTTAAATATTCATCAGCCTCGTAAGGTGAAACTTTGAACCATCATCATCATCATCTCACCTGCCGCCTTCTTAATTAACATACGCTCATTAACTATGGCTGACCCAGGTGACGGGGCGTACTCGCTGGGTTTACTTGACATCCTAGTGCACTAATTGATGATAAGTAACACCATTTGGCACTGTCTGACACCTATGGCTCCTTCTGATACCATATGACACTCCCTGACATCATCTGCCACTTTTTTACACCTGACACTACCAAGCAGCACCAGTGGTAGGTAGTAGGTAGTAGGCAGCTACCAAACAGGGAGGTACTATCGCCTGGGAAGATATTGGAAGCAAAATGTGTTGTCTAGTGGTAGACCCTGCTGCCATATGGTATCATGAAAATTGTGACCAAGTCCCAGGTTGTTGATTTGACTTTCTGCCTCATTTACACACAATTACAGGGTCTCAATTGTTTCTCTTACTTTGACAACACAACATACATATATCGTTTCTTGCTATTGATCTTTTTTTCACCTTTGTATTTCTTAATGGTTCTTTATTATTATTATTATTATTATTATTATTATTATTATTATTATTATTATTATTATTATTATTATTATTATTATTATTATTATTATTATTATCTTTATTATTATTATTATTATTATTATTATTATTATTATTATTATTATTATTATTATTATTATTATTATTATTATTATTATTATTATTATTATTATTATTATTATTATTATTTTTAATTTTGTATTTTTTATAATCAATTTTATTTACTATGAACTAATTATTATTAATATTGTTATTATTATTACATTTTCACCCCCCAGGCCCCGATGTGGGCCAGTGACCTGTGCCCAGGTGGGCTAATCCCTTAAAAAATAGTAATTTTCATTAGCACACACACACACACACACACACACACTTATCATACCATTGGCTTGCATCAGTGTCAGCTGTTAGGAGGCAGAAATATACATTGTTGGCAGTGCGTGTGTTTAGTGATTGGTGGTGCGGAGATGCAATGTTATCAGTCTCTCTCTCTCTCTCTCTCTCTCTCTCTCTCTCTCTCTCGCTGCCTCCATCGGGTGATATGTGCACTAAACACCTGTACCTGAGAACCACTAAACACCTGTACCCGAGAACCATTAGATCACCTGTACCTGAGACCCACTAAATCACCTGTGTGCTCATCCACCCCTTCTCTCAACAGGTGATGCAGAAGTCATGCCGCTGCAGCTTTATGTACGGCGAACTGACGGACAAAGAGACCATCTCCAGGATAGAACAGTGCCTCGAGAACCAACAGCAGGATCAGTTCGAGATACTACTCTACAAGAAGAATCGTAAGTCATCCTCGAAGCTGAAGGAATCCACTGGTGAAGGGAGGGAGGGATGGTGGGTGGTTTGGGGCTGCTAGGCTCACTGTCTTATGCTCACTCAGAGGCCGCTGTGTTATGCTCACTCAGAGGCCGCTGTGTTATGCTCACTCAGAGGCCGCTGTGTTATGCTCACTCAGAGGCCGCTGTGTTATGCTCACTTTGGGGCCGCTATGTTATGCTCACTTTGGGGCCGCTATGTTATGCTCACTTTGGGGCCGCTATGTTATGCTCACTTTGGGGCCGCTATGTTATGCTCACTTTGGGGCCACTATGTTATGCTCACTTTGGGGCCACTATGTTATGCTCACTTTCAATCTCTATTTTACGCTCATTTTGGGGCACATGTGTTACGCTCACTCTGGGGCTCTTTATTATGCTCATTCCGGGTTATGAATTTGCTCATTTATACTCACTCTGGGGCTGCTGTTTCACGCTCATTCTGGGGATGCTGCTGCTGCTGCATCATGCTCATTATGAGGTTGCTGTTTCACGCTCACTATGGGGCCACAATGTCATGCTCACTATTGGGTCACTATTTACTCTCACTATGGGGCTTTAGTATCATGCTCACTCTGGGGGCTGTAAAGTCACTATGCTCACTCAGGGCTAAGAGACCCACTTTGTTTACTGTGAGGGCTAAATGACCACTATGCTTCCTTGGGGAACTAGGGGACTCGCTTTGCTTACTCTAGTCTAGGGGCTAAAAGACTCACTATGCTTACTCTGGGGGACTAACAGACCCCTCTTTTCACTCTGGGGTTATGGGGGCTGTACTCTCACGCTCATTATATGAGCTGAGAGACCATATGCTCACTCTAGGATTATAGGGCTTTAGTGGCACGCTCACTCAGGGGGCTAAGAGCCTCACTATGCTCACTCAGGGGGCTAAGAGATTCACTATGCTCACTCTGGGGCTAAGAAACCCACCATGCTTACTCAGGGGCTGAGACCATTATGCTCACTTGGGGACTTTGAGTCTTCTCTTGCGCTTGTGTTATTGATGTTTTTAATCTTGTGTAATTAAGATCAGGTGTTGTCATTGATTAATTAGGAAGGTGATGGTCATCTCTACTCAGTGTATGGCATATATTGAGCTAGCTGATGATTATCTTAATAGTAACTTAAAATTTCAGGGAATTCTTTGTTTTTTGTATTATTCTCTGAGGGACTGATGGCCATTACGCTCATTAAAGGGCTTTAGATTATTATGCTCGTTCAGGGTCTAATGCCCGTCACGCTCACTCGGGGTCCAGCAGCCGCCAGGTTTACTTAGGGATTAGTTGATGCCACTTTCACTTAAAGGTTAGTTACCGTTATTTGCACATAGGATATTAGTACATTACGGTAGATACACTCAGTGGCTGCCCTCCGCCATGCTCATTCACTGGCCAGCGGTAGCCACGCCCACTCCAAAACGAATAAACTTCACGCTCATTCAAGGGCCCAGCGGCTGTCACCATCATCCAGGCTCTGGTGGCCAAAAGTTGTACCACACACCATAACTAGCGGCCGTCACGCTTATTCAGGGGCCGTCGGCTTCTTCTTCTTTGTGTTCAATTATCCTTTGCTGTAGTGTTAAGAAATCTGTACATAATGTATTAATTAAAATTTATATGAATATAATTAAAATTGATTTAACCAATACGAGGGTGTATGACTTTGTGGTGTAGAGGGAGAACAGTACCACCCTCCCCCACCCCACCACAAAGTACTACATTTTCCTCAGTAATATTTTGTACTGTGTAATTTTATAATATCAACCCATGGCTTCCTGTAAAGGCAATATATATAGATGATAGACGATTTGCCTTCCTCCCTTTTAAATATTTTTGAACTCTTAACCTCTCCACGGTAGTTGAGGGCGGACCTGGCAGAATACTCAGTCATCATGTGTTTGTTTATCATCAACCTGGGGGTAAGACTCACGATGTTTCCTACACGTCATAGTACACTCGACCTAATGTGAACTGTCTTAGGCTAGGTTAGGTTAGGTTAGGTTTCGGTGATTCGGGTAGAGATGGATTACGTTAAGTTAGGTTAAATGAGGTTAGATTAAACTCATTAGGTTAGGTCAGACAACACCGGTATATCACAGCAAAATTCAGTGTGTATGTATGTATGTATGTATGTATGTATGTATGTATGTATCTATGTATGTATGTATGTATGTATGTATGTCTGTATGTATGTATGTATGTATGAGAGAGAGAGATAGAGAGAGATCTACGACACAAACATTAGCTCACAAGATCTCAGCTGTTGGTTTTCCTCCATTTTATGTCACGAGTTGAAAATCATGGACGTTGGCCATAAGGAGAGAGTCGGCGTAGGTTAATAAGGAGGAGAAGGGTGGAGAGAGGAGGGGGACAATGGGAACAGAATGAGGGGGGGGGCAGGAGGAGAGAGGAGAGGAGGAACAGGAAAGGGTGGGGGACAGGAAGAGGGGAGGGGGACGAGTAGAGTCAGGTGGAGGTGATACACACAGGTAACTCGTCTACAGGTAAAACAAAGACAGACGGCAGAGAGATAAGTTAGGATGAAGACCTTATGATGTACTCAACGAAGGTAGAATGGAACTAAAGTAGAGTTAAATACCAAGGGGTGAGGGTGAGAGAGGGGAGTGGGTGAGGGGAAGAAGGGGGAACGGAAGGTATGAGGCAGTGAATGTGACGAATGAAGATGGTGTATTACAGAGAGGTGGTGGTGGTGGTGGTGTAAGACCGGCGGCAGGAGGTGGTGGACAGGTGAGAGACACTAGCTGGATCTGTTCAAGGTAGCCATCAGCGCCCCCCACCGAGGAGCAGGAGGACTGCCACACCATCGCGCCAGACACTCAAGAGGGGTAAAAAGTTACTGTAGTAGAGAGAGACCTTGAAGGACCCTGGAGGAGAGCCACCCTGATTACCCTGGAAACGTTAGGGTTGTGGGGGGCTGGGTGGAGGGGGTTATATCAGTAGTGGCCACAACACGGGGTGGGGGAGGAGGAAAATAATGGTTGGGAGCATAGGAAGAGCTTCTATAGTTACTGCTACGACAGGAGAAAAAATAACAATGGGATCAAGGCGATGGTGGTAGTCATGATGGTGAGGGCCTCGTCCGCGCGCGCGCGCGCGCGAGAGAGAGAGAGAGAGAGAGAGAGAGAGAGAGAGAGACGATGGGCGTCACTAGTTCTTACAGCTGTTAACATACAAACATTACGACCACGAGGTAGATGGTGGGGATGAACTGAAGGGAGAAACATTGCATAACAGCTACTCTCTTCAGCTTAAGTGACTTTTACAGTAGTTTTATAAAGTCTTGTACGTTTAGTAGAAAAGTATAAAGTATAAAAGTTAGTTTTAATCAGTAGTTAAGCCAAAGATCCTTCTGCCACGCTCGCCCTGTCTCGTTATTCTTCAATATGTTTAATAAATTTAGTTGCAGTTGTTCATGTAGCCACTCTTTCCCTCCATTGCGATTACATGATTGTGGAAATGTATCTTTATTAAGTAACCGCTTGTGGTTGTGCTCCGCCCTCCCCTGGAACGTCTGTATCCCTCCCTCTTTTATCTAGCCCAACCAACCAACCAAACAACTATCCCTTCATGTAAGTCTGAACCTGACGTGGCCCTTCTCAGTCACTGTAGAGTTTTATCTGTCCACCACAAGTTGTTATTATTAAAGTCCCAATAGATTGTTCTTTAGATTTATAAAACAAAGATTATATTCTCACACTTTTAGTTGCCCTTCCTCGACCTCCCCCTCCCCCTTCCGAGAGCCACATACACCCGGAGCTGCCCAACAGACCCCGTCCTAGGATCTCCTCCACGCTGGTGGTGGGAGGATCCGTGTTGGAGCTTCGCCACCACCACCACCACCTCCACCATTACCACACCCATGCCTCCTCTCTACTCACAACCTGGATTGGAATAATGTCTTTACCTGTCGTTAACTCCAACCATGGTAAAGGAAATTGTGTATTGTGCTTACAAGATAGGAGGAGGAAGGACGTAGAGAGAGAAAGAAAAAATAGAGAAAAGAGAGAGAGAGAGATAGAAAGAGAGAAGGAAAGAGAGAGAAAGATAGTGAGAGAGAAAGAGAGGTGTGGTGTGGTGGTGATGAGTGGTGGTGAGTGCGGGGCGCCTCACGGCTGGTCCCGCCCCGCCACCGTGTCCGCTCACTGTCTCAAGCTTGCCATTATGCCTCCTTTGCAGATTCTAGGCTGTATTTTGGCCCATCCAAGAATAAAACGGGTAATTATCATTGCCTGAGCCATGCCTCATCATGCCTGGGTCACCTTCACTATCACACACTATAACTCTTTATTAAGGAGAAGGAAGATGAATTAGTAAACAAGTAATTGATATTTATGATGGCGACTGTTCCTAAGATAACCTTCTAATGAGAGATGTTACGAGGGTGCTTCAGGGTAGACCAGGGCATCGACTAAATTATGTAAATGTTTGTTTTTAAAGTGGAATGAGTGGGCGGGAGGTGAGGCGGGCGGTAGTGAAGGTGACCCCGGCGCCTCTCTCGTACTGTTGTGGGCGTGTCCCCGGGCGGCCCATGCCACCACCCTCACGTCCACGCCGCCCGCGCCCACACACGCCCACCCTCACTCCTCGCTACACCATACCTCCGGACGTTAAAATTAGTGACCATAACCCATAGTGATGTAACCTGAGCCAACTGGTAGCCACAAGTGTTGTAGATGGTGTGTGTCTGTCTCGCCGTGTATGACAACTCAGTAGTTCTACAGTAGATAATTATGGATTGTTCTTCTATGTGTTTACTTTCACTAGACAACTACCATAAGTCTGTGTGTAAATAAATGACCAAATTAGTCTACAACATGACTTAACATTATGTACTGAGTCTCTTATGTTATAATCTTGAGTACTTACAGTGTGATAGGTCCTAGTAGTAGTTCTTGTATGTTAACGTGATGGGCACTGTACCCGGTGACGTACTGTTTTGTGTGACCAGCACGAGCGGAGGACCACCCGTAGCGGAGTGTTGGGTGTGAACAGTGTGTGGGCGTGCGGGTGTTGGTGGTGGAGGGGTGCCTGGCGTGCCTGGGCGTGTAGCTCTAGCGGTTTGTGGCATCGTGGCGGGCAGCGTCCCGTGTACCAGGCAGGCTTGTACAGTACAGTAGTGTCGGCTAGGTGGACCCCACCCTCCAGCACATGCTCCATAGACTCTCACTTATCCTATTAGAAAAATTGCATTTTGCATCTGTGTTCTTGAAAACACCTGTTAAATGATAGTTAAGGACAGGTCTGGATAAAAGCAACACAGGATTATGAAACATCCAGTTGTAGCTCAGTAGTCCATTAAGTAATGTTACCATTATCCTGCATCTCTGTATACTGGTGAGGTTATATGTGAACCCGAGACGTGTTAGCATCGCAACACTCTTGTCCTGGCCATGCATGTTACCCGGGTATAGTAGTGGTGGGAGGGTGTCGGGGCAGTGTGTAGGCCAGCTTCCTGCACTAGTTAGCTTTGATAGTGGTGTCTCGGCTCGTCTGTCGTCTGCTGCTGGCGGCTGCCACAGGATGTACTAATCCCACCCACTGTTCTCTCCACAGACAGCGGACTGCCAGGTAGTACAAGGTTTCACCATCTCACTGTCTCTATCCCGCCACTGAGCTACTTACTCACGCTCTCCCCTGGGAGCCTCAGCCCCACCACGGGGGTCTTGGGGAGCCATTCATGCATTGCCACCTCCATCCACATCTTCCTCTCCTCCCCTCTAGCTCACTTATCCCTGTTTTTTCTTCTAATGAGATGTTCCTTCCTCCGGTTACTATCAACTTCTTCCCTTCTCGCCCTCGTATATTTACGTCTGTTCTTCTTTACTCTCACACCTGTTACCACCCTCTCCTGACCCCAGGTGTTAACGAGGTCTTTTTTTGTTTCTTATTTTCCATTAACGTTAATATCTCCTCTCTGCCTGTCACCCCTCGCCCTCCCCGCCTCCCCAGTGTTGTCCTGGTCGTCTCCCTTTACCCTCGCTCCAACAGTCTTCCTCACCCATTCTCACCACTATGACAACCTGGTGTAAAAAAAAAAGCCTTTTAATTTAGCCCGATAAGTTTTACAGAGCGCGAACTGTATTTCTGTGGCCATAACCATTTGAGGATCGAGTTGTACCCCCTCCCCCCCACCACCACGACCCTCGACTCTCATTATTTCACATCTCAAAGGTTATGTGCGGCCACTGTATACCTCCGCAGACTCTCTCTCTCTCTCTCTCTCTCTCTCTCTCTCTCTCTCTCTACTCCGTCTCTATCTCTCACTATCCCACCTCACTGTCTTTGCCTTTGCATTTGTCTGCTTGCTTGCTGTCAATATCTGTTCTCTGTAGATTGTGCTTTCTCCACCTCCACTCACCTCACATTACCTGTCTCTTAACTCTGTTCCTCTTGGCTATCCACCTCTGTCTAACTTTTTGTGTGTACATAGGTGTGTAAATATATGTGTAAGTGTTTATGTATTAATCTAATCACTGTAAGAACCCAGAAACACACATATACACAAACAGACAAGTATTTCTTCACGAGAGACTCTGCTCTGATGTGAACCTGTGCATGTCAGGTGGTAGGGTACGTGTTTGTGTGTTTTGGTGTGAGAAGTTTGTTGACGTCTATGCATAATCATGTCAACAAACTCTCATCCAACTCTTCCCTCACACACGAGTCTTTGTCTGTGTGTGTGTGTGTGTGTGTGTGTGTGTGTGTGTGGTTTAACTCACAACACCACCACTCTAATTATTATATCACTTACTTGTGTGTGTAAAAAGTACAACTCAGACACTTTTTTTTATTTACATGTTTGTTGTTCTCACTGTGTTTCTACTGTGTGTGTGTCATCTCTTCTCCAAGACATTATCCTCTGAGTCTTTCAACCTGTTGCACTGTGTGCCGCCCGCCTCCCCCTGTACCGCTGTGTGTCTGGGTGATTGTCTCTCTCTCTCTCTCTCTCTCTCTCTCTCTCTCTCTCTCTCACCTGTGCTGCATCATCCAGGTAGTAACAGCAGCGTGGGAGGGGGCTGTATCACCACCTCCCTCCCTCTCTCTCAGCCAACAACACGCCGACTCTCGCATATTACCTCACTCTCCTCCGCTCTAGAATAGTATATCTAACTTAATTTTTTTTCTAGTAAGAGACAAGAAAGTTTCCTTAACCTATTATAGCTCCCATCTGGAATGTGCATTTTACCAACATCATCTTGCATGGAAAAACAAACAAACAAACAAGTTTTTTTAATCATAACCGGAGTTCACCTTATTTTTTTTACTTTAATTTTTCTTATTGTTTTGATCAGATTTTAACCCCGATTGAGTGACTATTCCCAGTATTACAATTAACTGTTGACTGGAATTAAACAAAAAACCCTCTTCTGCTTTTGTAGTTAATGAGACGATTTTTATTGTGTGTACTGTAACCCTCTCCAGCGGGTGTTTAATTAACCCTCTCTGTAGTATCTGAGAAAGACAGTTTTATTATCTACCTGTAGTTATTATTAAGGCTCTCTTGTTAAGGTGTTTACGTCTTCACGGTTCTTGACGTAGTGAGGACTATTGTTTACGCCATCTATTGTTTCTTCATTGTGTAAAAAAATAGATTTAGTCAATTATTTATTCAAAGATTCACAACACTGAAAATTGTTATTCATTGAGAAATTTACTTAAATACTTAAACTGTTTATTTCATTTATTCAAGTCATTATAAAGTTTAAATTAATTTATTGAGTTTATTGAAAGAATTATTAAAGTAATCTATTTATTTATTTAAAAAGTAATCATAAACAAATGGTTTTTTTCAGTTCAATTTTTTTTTTTTTTCCTTCAGAAAGAAATTATTTAGTTTATTCATTCATATGTTACTATCAACACCACTCCACCTAAACATTACCTCATAAAACACTCACCCCACACACCTGCCTCACAACACAAACAGCACTCCACCTAAACATTGCCTCATAAGACACTCACCCCACACACCTGCCTCACAACAAACACCACTCCACCTAAACATTACCTCATAAAACACTCACCCCACACACCTGCCTCACAACAAACACCACTCCACCTAAACATTACCTCATAAAACACTCACCCCACACACCTGCCTCACAACACAAACACCACTCCACCTAAACATTACCTCATAAAACACTCACCCCACACACCTGCCTCACAACAAACACCACTCCACCTAAACATTACCTCATAAAACACTCACCCCACACACCTGCCTCACAACACAAACACCACTCCACCTAAACATTACCTCATAAAACACATTCTCACTTCCGTCGTCGTCTAGCCAAAGTTATGTCGCATTACGGTAAACGAAGAGAGAAGCCAACACAAGCGCCTCACTCAAGCGTCCCCAGCCAACCAAACTTGTCGAGGTGGAGAAATATTGACGCGTTGTGCTGTCACCCCTCCATTTTCTCCCTTCCCCTTCCCATTCCCCCTTCTTCCTTCCCCTACTCCACTCCTCATTCTTCCTTTCCCTCCCCACTCCCCCACTCCTCCTCCTCCTCCCCCACTACTCTTCCTGTGATGGCTTACTGGGTCCTGACACTATGATTATTCTGTCACGACGATTCACTGTGATTACGTGTGTCAACTTTGGCTATTCGTTCACCGAGAGGCTTCTGTAATCGCTGTGAAATCTCTTGGCACTGTGATTTCCGTGGCACTATGGTCTATGTGACACTGTGAGTATTGTGGCACTGTGTTTCTCGTGGCACTGTGATTACTGTGACACTGTGATTGCTATGCCACTACGATTCTCGTGGCACTGTAGTTCTCCCACTATGACTCTTGTGACACCGTGATTATTTGTGGCACTGTGATTCATATGCCACTATGATCACTGTCACTAAGACCCTTTACGTCCTCATGACTAAGGGCATGGCTGTGATTGCCGTCTCACTATGACTCGGAGCATTGTAACTATTGCGGCACTGTGATTATAGCATTGTAGTATTCATTGTCAGTATAATTCTGTTCATTGTTGTGTCACCATGATTACTGTCACTATGATTGTTATTTTGTTACAACTGTTTCCACGACGATTACTGTGTCATTGTGATTATCGCGCCATTGTGATTACTGTGTACCTGTGGTTATTGGGTCACTGATTAGGCTACTTTGTTGACGATTTCTGCATTACTATGATTATTGTTTCACTGTGACTACACTGTCAGTGATATCAGCGTCGCTATAATTACTGCGTCAATATGATTACTGCGTCACTATAAGTACTGCGTCACTGTAAATACTGCGTTACTATAATTACGGTTTCTTTACAATTGATGCTTCACTATAATTACTGCGTCTCTATGAATACTGCGTCACTATAAGTACTGCGTCACTGTAAGTACTGCGTCACTGTAAATACTGAGTCACTATAATTACGGTTTCTTTACAATTGATGCTTCACTATAATAACTGCGTCACTATGATTACTGCGTCACTAAATTACTGCGTCAATATAATAACTGCGTCACTATAATTACTGCGTCACTATAATTACTGCGTCACTGTTATTACTGCGTCACTGTCACTACCAGGATAGAAGAAATAAAAGATGAATATTTCTCGCGACAACAGAAATAGAAAATAAGTTTTCTTTGTCAATGTCAACTATTTGGTTTGACCTCCGTGTGTGTGTGTGTGTGTGTGTGTGTGTGTGTGTGAGGAGGCTAGAGGACGATCACGGATACACAATTTTATTTTCGAGGAAATCGGCAACAAAAATACGATGTTAATGCAGTTTTGGATTCCATCATAATATTCTGTCTCACGAGGCGATTGTTTGAGTTAATCACCACCATGAACAATGCAACACTGACGGCGAGGGTGAAGGTGGACCACCCCTCTCCTGACGTCTGGCTCTGGGGAGAGAGTGTTGGGGAGGGAGGGAGGGAGGTTAGTGCAGCCCCCAGCGGACCATTAACGTCACTCCACGCTACTTGGGAATTTGTCATACGTCCATTTTGCTTCAAGTTTCGCGTTCCTTTACCTCCAGTTTCGTTTCTCTTCCGTGACGCAGCTGTTGCCGACCCTCACGTCCTACTTCTCTCCTTCTCCTTCCTTCCTGCCGATGGGAGGAGAGAAATGGAGGAGAAAATATGATAATTTATCGTACTTAAAGATGAAATTAATCTTACCTGTCTCAAGAAAAAAAAATCATAATCATGTCAGATATTCCATTTAAGATCCTGATGAAAATAAACATGGCGGTCAATGCGGTTCTGTTTATGCTGTCTGACCATCGTTGTGGGTCTACAGCCGGGCGGGTGTCACCTTTACCCCTGGAGGAGACTGTAGGAGGGGCAGACGTCGTCTAGAGTGACCCTTTACAAACTGGTTGGGTACTAGACGTCCTGGCGTAATGTAAATTACAGGTGTCTGGACCATACCGCCGCTGTTGCCATGGTAACATCCCTCGCTCGATACACACCTGGACCAGCCAGTCTGAACCTCAGATTTAGTGTGTTACTTATTATCTGCCCCCGGCCCCAGGTATCATTGTCACCCCAGACACCGCACCACACCCGGGTCTTTCATCACACCCAGGTGATACGCCGTAGTTTTAAATATGACTGTACATATTCTGTACATAATTACAGTATCACCACGTACGACCAACGGCTGCCGTCTAAGGCCTCCACACGGGTCCACCACACTCCTCGTGGACCCATACACACACCGGGGTCACAGAACACCTGCGAGAAATCAACATACGTCACTGTACATATTCTTAACTTACATCAGCTGGATACTAACACATTACTTATGGGGGAGGAGCACCTAGTGTGTACGAGGAACACATGATGGTGTCACCACAACACACAGGGTGCCACACATCGCCTGGGACCTCCACATAATTTAAGTTGAGGGGTTCAAAGTTGTCATAACACTGTTACACTCTATAAGCATCTCCATTACAAACACAGCTTCAAAAAATTAGTCTCAAAGTCTCGTGTAAACTTTGAGCCTCTGACATAACCCCTTAACACTTGCAGTTACTGTGGGGCTGTCAAGGTAAATTCCTTGTCAGGTGACATGCTGGAGGTTAAGTATTATCCTCCAGGTGTCATGAAAGTGTGTCACCTCTCCCTTGACACACATGGCACATCCCTGGTGGTGAATACTTTTAAGAGTTATGACTTACTGGTGATGTGTTTATCACATCATTACTTAAAACAGTGATAAGGAGTAGTCAAAGTAATACTCGGTATCTATAATAATAATAATAATAATAATGATAATAATAATAATAATAATAATAATAATAATAATAATAATAATAATAATAATAATAATAATAATAATAATAATAATAATAATAATAATAATAATAATAATAATAATAATAATATATAAAATCTGTAAAGAACACAACAGTCTAATTATAGGTGATGTATTAACAAAATATTATTAATTATTCATAATAAATGTGTGTGGTAGTTCAAGATGCCTTATACAGGGTATATATATATATATATACTCCTATACACTATTAAGCTCTAACATAATCTATTCCCTTCATTATTATGCACTCTTATACATATTACGCAACACATATGGTAATGACTGTGTGTGTGTCCTTCGGTAAATGTCATCACAGAGTCGTAGTTCACATTTTGGTTTAGTTGTATACCGTTACGTCAAGTGTTTGTGGCTCTGAGTTATGAACAAAGAGTTGCTTCATTAATTTCTGTGACAACTCTGACTATATATTTTATACTAGAGCCTCGAGCGCTTCACCATGATACAGTCACCACACTGCTCACCATCGGGAGAGTCACACATATCCACATGACGTCAATTTACTCAACCAATTTCATCTTCGTCTCACCAATCCTGAACCCACGACATAATCACCAAACTCTTCACCATTTTAACTTTGGTAACACCGGGAGCTTGATTCGCCTCTGGCATGGTGCAGTCACCAGCAGGTAGAGCTCAGCAGCACGGTAGTGACACCAAGCCACGCCTCTATCTCTCTCTCTCTCTCTCTCCCTCCCTCACCACATCTCCTGACTCCACTACCACACACATACTTGCGTTACAGGAACACCATTATGGCTGCTCCTCCACATCGCGCCCATCAAGAACGAGAAGGACATCGTGGTGCTGTTCCTGTGCACCTTCAGGGACATCACGGCGCTCAAACAGCCCATCGAAGCAGAGGACTCCCGAGGTAAGATCCTTTGACGTTTAGGAGGAGGTCCTACGTATAGACACACAGCTCAGAGAGGTTGGGGGGGGCGTAGTCAGGCAAGAGGGGGTCAGGTTCATGTAAGTTTACTCCACCTGCTTGTGGGAGACCTGTGAAGCATGACACACGCTTCTGCAACTAATGGATGAGATGTATTCAGTTCAAACAGCTTCCATTGGAGACTATTTGACGTGTGAACAGATCTACGAGGATTCGAACAGCTCATAGAGGGTTCGAAAGAAAATACAGTTCATTTAAAGACTTGAATAGCTCAATTTAAGTTCATATTGCAACTTCTTGGGGTGTTTAAAATCACTGGAACTTTCAAGTATAATTCGAACTGCAGGGAGAGGGAGGAACAAGCAAGCAATAGACCTTCATTCTTCCCTCTAGGCAGAGCTCTCGAGACAAACTTTCTTTACTTCAATGGTCATTCACAAAGTCTGAAGAGTATTCACCTTGAGTTACCTGTCACAGGGGTTAGGCTGCGACCAGGGACAGAGCACACACGCTGTAGATGGTTCACCCCTGTCAGTGGTTCATAGTAAAACAAATATAAAAGTACCATATTTTGCTACCTGGCCAACGATATACTTTTAGTTACTCCGTGAACCAAATAAGAATATTGTTCCTTGTGGGTTAAAATTACCACAAGGGAGTAACTGTAACTGCCTTAGCTGCAAATGTAGTCATGTCATCTGGAATTTTAGCTGACAGTAAATAAAGGCATTGGCCAAAAAACAAAAGCATGAGTTAGTTGTCCTCAGTCGAGACAGAGATAAGTCATAGTGTTCATCTGCCATACATTGCTGTTTGTGTTTTTATTTAGCTTCCTATTAACACCCTTCAGACTCAACTCTTGCTCAGTTCACATGTTAACAGAAACAAAAAAGAGAAATGGTTGCTTTATGATGTAAGAGTCAAGTTTATATTTATGTGTGTGTAGCTCTATATCCGTGTACGTAGCGCCCCTCTCTCTCTCTCTCTCAACATGATGGAGAACGTGTACCAAGGAGTCTGTACCTCTCTCGCTCTCTCTCTCTCTCTCTCTGCTGCCACATGACACTGGTTGGATGTATCCCTCTTTGAGTGTTCATGTGTCACCAAACACTTTCACACAGTGCACCCCGCCCTAAGTGTCATGATACATACTACTACTATCACTACTACTACTACTTTTTTTAAATGGCCTCCAGCCTCCCCCAATAGCCATACCTTCGCCACTACTACTACTACTACTACTACTACTACTATTACTACTACTACTACTACTGTGAGAGAACACAACTTGGAATGTCTTCATTATGTTGAGTGTGTTCTTGCACCACAACACACACACACACACACACACACACACACACACACACACACACACACACACACACACACACACCCACCAGACCACACACCCTCGGCTAGACGTTGATCTAAAACACTATGTCAATATCATCATCATCAGAGTTCAGAAACAAGAAAAAATTGAAAGAAATGAAAGAAAGAAAAAACAATTCGAGAAGAGGATTTTCACTCTCAACCAAAACCTCCACCACGTCGTCACCACGTCAAAAACCTCCACCACGTCAAACCTCCACCACGTCAACCAAAACCTTCACTACGTCAACAAAACCTCCACCACGTCAACAAAACCTCCACCACGTCAACCAAAACCTCCACCACGTCAGCAAAACCTCTACACCACGTCAAAACCTCTACACCACGTCAACCAAAACCTCCACCACGTCAACTAAAACCTCCACACCACGTCAAGCAAACCCCACCTCGTCAAGCAAAACCTCCACCACGTCAAGCAAAACCTCCACCACGTCAAGCAAAACCTCTACACCACGTCAACCAAAACCTCCACCACGTCAACCAAAACCTCACACCATCAACCAAAACCTCCACCGTCAGTCAAAACCACGTCAAAACCACACCCACGTCAACCAAACACCACGTCAACCAAAACCTCCACCACGTCAAAAACCTCCACCTCAAAAACCTCACCACGTCAACCAAAACCTCCACCACATCAACCAAAACCTTCACCACGTCAACCAAAACCTTCACCACGTCAAAAACCTCCACCACGTCAACCGTCAAACCCTCCACCACGTCAACCGTCAACCAACACCTCCACCACGTCAAGCAAAACCTTCACCACATCAACCAAAACCTCCACCACGTCAAAAAACCTTCACCACGTCAAAAACCTCACCGTCAAAAAACCTCCACACCACGTCAAGCAAAACCTTCACCACGTCAACCAAAATCTCTACACCACGTCAACCAAAACCTCCACCACGTCAACCAAAACCTCCACCACGTCAAGCAAAACCTCCACACCACGTCAAGCAAAACCTTCACCACGTCAACCAAAATCTCTACACCACGTCAACCAAAACCTCCACCACGTCAACCAAAACCTCCACCACGTCAACCAACTGGATTTACTTCACAGGGACAGATATTCATTCGGCACAAGACAGATCTGAGAACTCCAGACTTTCACCTGAGATTTATCAATGTAATGGTGATTATATATTGTGAGAGGTGGGAAGCAGTCGACTAAGAGGAGGAGGAGGGTGTCATTAGGGGTGTACTAGTTGGTCTCTTCAGTGAGGTCAACGAGTTGTATATAGTTAGGATGGTTGACGGGAGTAGGTCTCGGTGTGTGTGTGTGTGTGTCGGAGGGTTCTCAGTGATGGGGCCTTGTTGAGATGGTTGTATTGTGTAAGGATCGTTACCTTTCTCTCTATTTATCTCTCTATTTATCTCTCTCTCTCTCTGTCTCGCCTTATCTCTCTATCTCTCCGTCTGTCGGTGGTCTCTTAATGCAGTGAGGATAATATAATTGGTGTTTCTGGTATGGTATGTTATTTTTCTTAGGAGAGACAAGGCCCGGCAGGATTTAAGAGGTAGTTGTATCCAACAGTGGCTGTTTGTCCTGGTATATGTAAAGAATTTCCTCGTCAGAGTTTAATTGGTTTGGGGTTTATTTAATCACTTAAGCATCGTGTTATCTCTGTGTAGATGTATAGGGTAGACTTCTCACCCCAGTGTAGCTGTCTTAGGAGACTTAGAACCTCTTGTATGCAGACAAACATTGACGGGTACAGGAGCTCCTACAGGTGTACCGCGACGACCTCTCTGGTGAACCGGGTGGTCGCTCCGAAGGCACCAGCTGTGTCAAGAACTGTCACTAAGGTTCCAGATGCTTCAGGGAATGTCACGTAGCCGCCGCCTCCGACAGTGTCACAAATACTTCAGTTACTACAAAAAATTTCAAGAGGACTCCTTCTGCGTCAGGAAGTGTCATGGAGGCACCAGAGGGGACAGGGAGTGTGGGTTGTGGTGGAGGAACACTAAAGACGTTCTTAATCCGAGGGGCGTTAATGTATACACGAACCATTCAACGTGCGCACAAGAGCCAGGTGTACGTACATTATATACCACCACTGACACTCTAACACACGCGAGGTGTCGGCAGGTGTAAGACACATGTGTACATGGAAGACAGATGAGTGAGAACAGGGGTGTAGGAATCGGCCTAAGTTGTGATGTTTGGGATAACGGGAGAGGTCAGGGTTGTCTAGGTTTGGCTTTGGTGGACAACTGGCGATGTGGTCCAGCTGGTGATGTGGTCCAGCTGGTGATGTGGTCCAGCTGGTGATGTGGTTCAGCAGGTGATGTGGCCAGCTGGTGATGTGGTCTGTCTAGCGATGTGGTCCAGCAGGTGATGTGGCCAGCTGGTGATGTGGTCCAGCTGGTGATGTGGTCCAGCTGGTGATGTGGTCCAGCTGGTGATGTGGTCCAGCTGGTGATATGGTCCAGCTGGTGATGTGGTCCAGCAGGTGATGTGGCCAGCTGGTGATGTGGTCTGTCTGATGTGGTCCAGCAGGTGATGTGGCCAGCTGGTGATGTGGTCTATCTAGTGATGTGTCCAGCTGGTGATGTGGTCCAGCTGGTGATGTGGTCCAGCTGGTGATGTGGTCCAGCTGGTGATGTGGTCCAGCTGGTGATATGGTCCAGCTGGTGATGTGGTCCAGCAGGTGATGTGGCCAGCTGGTGATGTGGTCTGTCTAGCGATGTGGTCCAGCAGGTGATGTGGCCAGCTGGTGATGTGGTCCAGCTGGTGGTATGGTCCAGCTGGTGATGTGGTCCAGCAGGTGATGTGGCCAGCTGGTGATGTGGTCTGTCTAGCGATGTGGTCCAGCAGGTGATGTGGCCAGCTGGTGATGTGGCCAGCTGGTGATGTGGTCCAGCTGGTGGTTGTGGTGATGACATGGTTCCGCTGCTGATGGGGGTGGCGAGACTTAGCTGGTGTTTGAGGTGTTGGTGACCTGGCCTGATTGTGGTGTAGGAACAGAACAAGCAGCACACCATCGTCTCTCGGCCGTGACAGTGACCAGGGAGTGAAAAGTCAAGATCTTTGAACCAGGTGACGTGTGGTTGAAGGATCAGATGTGTGAGATGACGTCACTGAGAGTATAAATGCAACCTGAAGACTGGAGTGTAGATACTGGCAGGTGTGACTCTCGTATATGACAGACACATATAAGGGGAGGTTATGTCAGGACGCCGCCATCTCAGACGACTTATGGAGCTCACTTTCTCTGTCTCGATTGAGGATTGTTGTGGATCTTTGTCAAGGTGATGTTACGCAACAGCTGTCGCCACCCTGGCAGGACATTCTGACGGGAACGTCACCCAAGCAGCTGGTCAGTCCTCCCTGTCTCAAAGGATCGCGTGATACTCCACCATCCATGTGTCACCCGGGCTGACAACCTCCGTCAGCCGAGATAACTGTGTTAGTGATGCACCTGACCTGTAGAATATATTGGTGTTTCCATAGGCAGTCCTGAGAGAAGTGTTTACATCATTGTCTTCCGTCCACCACCTCACTGACGCCATGAGCACCGTGTGAGTTAAGGAGAACAGACATTAGTGTTTCCTCTTCACGGCAAATAACTGAAGGTGTAGTTGTACAAGACAGTGTTGTGGTTGTTAAACAGTACACGACACACAGGGACCAAGGGCGGGTTTAGCTGGAGTGCCTCACACGTCCCCGAGGTCCAGCGAGTAGAGACCTAAGTTAACACACTTTGGCCGTGGTTCTCCATGTTGTGTGTTGCCCTCCCAGACACAGTTAGTGGGAGTCTGTTGGCTGATCCTGGTACCTGGCCAAGGGTCGTGGTACCTGGCCAGGGGTCGTGGTACTTGGTCAGGAGAGGTGGTTGTTGGCCTGGGGTGGTAGAAGATACAGTATCGTGACGTGGTGTTGGTCTGGGGAGGATGGTGGTAGTGTCTGGTAAGCGGTAGAGGTAAAGGGTAGGGGGTTGTGTTTGCTTGCGGTTAGGCTGGTGGGTAAGCGAAGGGGGTACTGAGGGGCGGGCAGGTGATTACTTGTGTGTTATTGCAGCTTCGGACAGCACGGAGAGCTCGGGGGGCAGGCTGCCGACCAAAAGTAGGTACCACTGGCCCCGCGCCTGACCACCCAACACCGCGCGCCCTTTCTCCTCCACCCACCCCCTCCCTTCCACTCATTCCCTTATCTCAAATGCCCTTCACCCTCCGCCTCACTACCCCCGACACTCCTACTTCAGCATCGCACAGAGAGGCTCGGGCACATCCCAGGAACTCTTACTAAATCTCTGAACAACAACAACAACAACAACCGCTCGACTCGTCAAGTGATGCGTCTAAATATCACCAACAATGGACATAAATGTCTTCTGTTTGTAATATGTGTCAAACTTTTATTTATACTCTGTAAGTTTTGCCGAAATTCAGTTGTGGTGAGGTGGTCGGTGGGAGTAAAGTTGAGACTCTGGAGGCGTGAACGATGTCCCTCCCTGTCCTGGTCACCACCACATAACACGCCACACGCGTCCCAGGATGTAAGTATCGGGCGGGCGTGCGAGCGTGGTGGTCGAGGAGGAGGGGGCTAGCGGTGCGTGGGCGGCCATGGCGGTACTTGTTGTGGTGATGCTTGTGGAGTGGTTCCTGTGTGTGACCTCCCGCTCGTGTCGATGTGTGCCTGTAGTGCCCCGCCGCCACGCTAATGATAATTTTTACCCGGTGACAGCCAGCATCCCTACTTTTTGCCTGTTTTCCCACTGTATGTGTTGGCAGGGCCGCAACCGCTTCTCTCCATCACCACCGTGACTATGGACACACTACACCAGGAGTCCCGCAGGCAGCACTCACCCTTCCTGCGGCTCCACCGAGAGTGTCACTGTGTCCACCAGCCACTGCGGCCGTTCTTCTGCTCATACGATTTATTGTTTTTATTCAAAATTTATTACTGTCCAGGTAAAAGAGTTCATCGGTTTTGGCGAACAATAAGAAATAGGACCAAGTTTATAAGTTTTCATGTGGCGGACCGAACTCTTACCTCTGGTGGAGGGAAGCGCTTGCACTTAGGTCTAAATTTCCAAATTCGATGAATTTTAACTCTCTGTGGCTCACACTAGATGTTTTATGTTGTGTTTTTTTACTATCTTAAATAATTAACTTTTATTATTACTACTCTATGTCTTCCCTGAAGGGTGTTAATTGGACCCGGGGCTGCCTGTTGAACATAGTTCGTGTGTGTGTGTCAGAGTAGCTCTAGCGCTGGTAGTCCCGCCTCGTGTAGACCATAGCACCCTGCAGCACACTCCCGCATCCTCTCCCGAGACAGTGTGGATCTTCCTGATGTCCTCACGTGTGTTGACCCTCGCCCAGCCCCTTAACGTAGCCCCAACCTGTCCCTGCAGCTCTCCTGGCCAAGATTTAGAGTAACTTAGTGAGAATGTCACACCAGTACTGGCATCCCCTTATTCCGCTTCTCTCATATTAGTCTCTGTCTTTCCAAGGGAGGATAATATGTCCACCCCTCCCAGCCCCCGTCACTGATTACATAGTTTCATGATTTAAGAATATAACGAGTAAGTCATCATAAGAAAAGGTTACATAGACACGTGTGTGGCTACTGTGCATCACACATTGAACGGCCCCTGTGCCCCTGAGAGGCTCATATTGACCTCCTCGCCTCTCATGTCCACCTCACCACCGTTACTGTTCTTCACCCTCAAGCCGGCCTCAGCAAATTCGCCAAGCTGGCTCGCTCGGTGACCCGGAGCAGATCGGTGCTGGTGACTCAGTTCTCCTCCCACCTGCCCGTCATGAAGGACGTCGCCAAGCAGTCCAACATCACCCACGTGAGTACCTTCCCTCTCCTCCAGGGTAAAATGTCTAATACTACTACTATTACTACTACTACTACTACTTTTTATGGCCTCCAACCTCCCATCACGACTACTCCTCCCCCCCCCCTCTCTCTCTCTCTCTCTCATTACAACATAGTCATAATATATTTCCTATATTCCTAATAATCCACAACAAACAGTAACTAACAGGGGATTAAAAAGAACAGTAACGGGACAAAATTCAACAGACGCTAAAATATGTCAAAAGAGACGACACACACTAATAGATAAAAACAGGCTAACGGAACCTTCAACAGATGATAAGGTCTAAGTGACACTAACAGGTGACAATTAACAGGGGGACGGAACATATTTTAACGGGAGACTCATACAGACGCCAACAGGTGACACAACAGACACTAAATCAAAGGGAATCTCAACAGATGATGAGCCTCAACAGTGACGTCATGCCGCAGTACCGACAGGAAGCGCCCAAGACGCCACCGCACATCCTCCTTCACTACTGTGCCTTCAAGGTGGGTCCTCCTTCACTACTGTGCCTTCAAGGTGGGTCCTCCTTCACTACTGTGCCTTCAAGGTGGGTCCTCCTTCACTGCTGTGCCTTCAAGGTGGGTCCTCCTTCACTACTGTGCCTTCAAGGTGGGTCCTCCTTCACTACTGTGCCTTCAAGGTGGGCCCTCCTTCACTACTGTGCCTTCAAGGTGGGTCCTCCTTCACTACTGTGCCTTCAAGGTGGGTCCTCCTTCACTACTGTGCCTTCAAGGTGGGTCCTCCTTCACTACTGTGCCTTCAAGGTGGGTCCTCCTTCACTACTGTGCCTTCAAGGTGGGTCCTCCTTCACTACTGTGCCTTCAAGGTGGGTCCTTCACTACTGTGCCTTCAAGGTGGGTCCTCCTTCACTACTGTGCCTTCAAGGTGGGTCCTCCTTCACTACTGTGCCTTCAAGGTGGGTCCTCCTTCACTACTGTGCCTTCAAGGTGGGTCCTCCTTCACTACTGTGCCTTCAAGGTGGGTCCTCCTTCACTACTGTGCCTTCAAGGTGGGTCTTCCCTCACTACTAAGCCTTCAAGGTGGGTTTTACTTTACTATTGTCAGAATTTTTTAACAAACTTTCAACTCAGACCAAAATACACTGTAATTTCACACACACACACACACACACACACACACACACACACACACACACACACACACACACACACACGGTTCTTGCAGGTCATTATTATATCTCACTGTCGATGCTAATTAGTTTTTAAGGTTGATATGAACAACTAATTAAAAATAGAAAGATTGTTGGACTGATTTAATGATACTAATGATCATTATTTTGACGACATAAATGAGTTGATAACGTCTGTCCTTCGCCTTATAGATGGTAGTGTATTAAGGTTAATGACTATCTTAGTATATTAGTCAGGCGGTAATGTTTTATGTCAACAACGGAACAACAGTGTGTGGGGTTCCCTGTCACATGTTGGTGTTCTTTTCTTATATAACTTGTCAACAGTGAAAGGAAAAAAACCTGCCCGAAATATCTTCAATCTGTGTCAGGGGAACGGACGCTTCGGTGACTAGACGTGACAACGGCACTGGCTGATCTGTCCCTCCGTCATTGATTTAAAATATGATTGGTAAATATTGTGTGTGTCCTGACAGGTTGTTTGGGGTCTAAGTAATATGCAGGTTAACATGAGTGACCTGTCCTGTGTTGGAGGTCGGCAGTAGTGAGTGGTGGTTGGTTAACAGTGTTGTGTCTCTACAGGCTATCTGGGACTGGGTGATCCTCTGTCTCACCTTCTACACCGCCATCATGGTGCCCTACAACGTGGCCTTCAAGTACAAGACCTCGGAGGACGTGTCCCTGCTGGTGGTGGACTCCATAGTCGACGTTATATTCTTTATAGACATTGTGCTCAACTTCCACACCACCTTCGTCGGCCCCGGCGGGGAGGTGGTGTCTGATCCTAAGATTATTCGAATGAACTATTTGAAATCGTGGTTTCTGATAGACCTGTTATCGTGCCTCCCATATGATGTTTTCAACGCGTTTGACCACGATGAAGATGTAAGTAAGTGTGGCTTACAAGGCGAAGTTAAGGATAACGTAAGTGTCGAGTCTGTGTAACCTTCCTTAGAGCCTGAGGCGTGCGGCTTCCTGCCTCACCTCACGCTGCCTCGTCCCCGTGGCTGCACTCTTCCTCCTCCTCCCCACCACCAAAGGCTTCCCCTCTCTCTCTTGCTAATAACCTACTCCCCGTTTTAACTTCTCTCCATTATTTCGTATCATCTCTTGGTCTCTCTTCATCTCTTTGGCTCAGAACTTCCTGAAGTTATATTAACCCTTCAGATCTGTAGACCTACGCCATCCTCCTCGTCGCTACACCTGTATACTGTACCTCCTCTACACCAGCTTGACACGTTTTATCCCTTTAGGGAGCAGGAGTGTCTCTCAGCTGAAAAAATCATCGGGCGTTAACAAGAATAAATACCTAAGCTTGGAGCTTAACTCAAAAGGGTTAACTCCCCACACACCTGAACACCTCTTTTCTCCTACACAACTGTCTCACCTGCACACTCACCTGTCTCACCCTCATTCTCCCGTACACCTGTCGTACTATCACACTCTTCCCCACATCTTTATCACCCCTCATGCCCTCTCACACACCTGTCTCACCCCTCGTATCCTCCCACACACCTGTCTCACCCCTCATGCCCTCCCACACACCTGTCTCACCCCTCATGCCCTCCCACACACCTGTCTCACCTCTCGTATCCTCCCACACACCTGTCTCACCCCTCATGCCCTCCCACACACCTGTCTCACCCCTCATGCCCTCCCACACACCTGTCTCACCCCTCATGCCCTCCCACACACCTGTCTCACCCCTCATGTCTCACTCTGCCACACACCTGTCTCACATGCCCTCCCCACACACCTGTCTCACCCCTCATGCCCTCCCACACACCTGTCTCACCCTCTGCCCTCTGCCCTCCCACACACCTGTCTCACCCCTCATGCCCTTCCACACCTGTCTCACCCCTCATGCCCTCCCACACACCTGTCCCATGCCCTCCCACACACCTGTCTCACCCCTCCATGCTCCTTCACACACCTGTCTCACCCCTCATGCCCTCCCACACACCTGTCTCACCCCTCATACCCCTCCCCCACACCTGTCTCACCCCTCATGCCCTTCCATACCCTCTCCCCACCCCTCATACCCTCCCCACACCTGTCTCACCCCTCCACCCTTCCATACACCTGTCTCACCCCTCATGCCCCTCCCCACACACCTGTCTCACCCCTCCTCCACACCTGTCTCACCCCTCATGCCCTCCCACCTGTCTCACCTCCCTCCCACACACCTGTCTCACCCCTCATGCCCTGTCCATACACCTGTCTCACCCCTCATGCCCTCCCACACACCTGTCCCACTTGCCCTCCCCACCTGCACCTCCCCTCCCACACACCTGTCTCACCCCTCTTACCCTCCCACACACCTGTCTCACCCCCTCATGCACCTGTCTCACCCCTCTGCACACCTGTGCCTCCCACACACCTGTCTCACCCCTCATGCCCTTCCATACACCTGTCTCACCCCTCATGCCCTCCCACACCTGTCTCACCTCATGCCCCTCCCCACACACCTGTCTCACCCCTCATGCCTCCCACACACCTGTCTCACATGCCTCCCACACACCTGTCTCACCCCTCATGCCCTCCCACACCTGTCTCACCCCTCACCCCTGCCTCCACACCCCCATGCCTGTCTCACCCCTCATGCCTGCCCTCCCCACACACCTGTCCCTCACCCCTCATGCCCTCCACACACCTGTCTCACCCCTCTGTCTTGCCCTCACCTGTCACCCCTCATGCCCTCCCACCCTGTCTCATGCACCCCCCATGCCTCCCACACATGCCCTCCTCCCCCTCATGCCCTCACCCCCACACACCTGTCTCACCCCTCTGCCCTCCCACCTGTCCTCACCCTCCCCTCCACACCTGCCCTCACCCCCCACCTGTCTCACCCCTCCCACACACACCCTGTCTCCCCTCACACCTGCTGCCCCCCCACACCTGTCTCACCCCTCTGCACCTGTCTCACCCCTCATGTCTCACCCTCATGCCTCCACACACCTGTCTCCCCCTCACCTGCCCTCCCACACACCTGTGCCCTTGCCCTCTGTCTCACCCCTCATGCCCTCCCACACACCTGCCTCTCCCCTCATGCTCCTCCCTCATTCCCTACACACACTGCCCTCATGCCATGCACCTGTCTCCCCTCATGCCTGTTGTCTCACCCCTCATGCCCTCCCACACACCTGTCTCACCCCTCATGCCCTCCCACACACCTGTCTCACCCTGTTTCTTGAACCTAATTCCACACCTGAGACATTCAAGTCCTCCTCTCGCGTCCTCAACCTCACATAGCTCTCGTTCACTTTGTTTGGGCTCTATAATTATTCCTGTTTTAACCTGAAAGAGATTCTACACCAACAACTACACACACTCTCTCTCTCTCTCTCTCTCTCTCTCTCTCTCTCTCTCTCTCTCTCTCTCTCTCTCTCGTGTTGTATATATTAAGGACACACACACCTAGACCACTATAGGCCTCAGTCTCTCTCCTGCCAACCCTCTGTGAGTCCTCCCCCTCCTCCCCCTCCTGCCGCAGTGCCTTGTGTACCATCAGTGTTGTGGTGGTACTGTCTGCTGGTTCAGGAGTGTTAGCCTCTACCAGGGCACCCACGTACGCGAGACCAAAGGTGGGACCCCCCCTTCCCCCTTAAGCACGAGCAGCACCAGGATGTGTGGGTGTGTGGGGCATGGTGCCACACACACGCCCATTGCACCTTTCTAAAGTCACGGGGACACCCAACGGAACCGCTTGTATGTTTCACTGTAACCATCGTCCATAGCCTCCCTCACTCCCACCCCTTTCCTCGCGGGCGTCCTCACTCCTCTACCCCGCCACATCCTCAGTACCTGTAGTTCATATCCCTCAGGTCCAATACATACCTGGTCAAGTACAAGCGGCTTCGGTGGGAGTTTCATTAGTTTTTATCTGTAATTCTCTCTTTCTTTTTCCCTCTATCTCCATCTCTCTCTTGTAAACCTTATCTTCTTTACAGCCTCCATTCGTTGGACCGGTTGGCGCACCTCCAGGCGAGACACCCTAGACGGTGGGGCTGAGGGTGCGGTTAATACTCTACAAAACACATTACAACTGTGCTCTAGGTCACCCCCCCCCCTCCTTAGTGTAAGATCCAGCCGTCGCACCACTCACCGTCTTCAGAACCATCTCTCTCTAGTGAAGGAGGCGGTACTATGTCTCTTAACAGTGACCTGACATAATAGGGAAGGGAGCCATGAAGTTATTGAGATGTGTGATTGGTGAGGAGCAGTTAGAGGCGATGGTGAGTGGTGAGACTGACACCATCATCCTGGGTGACGCAGCAGGAAGCCCTCACCATACACAGCTGAATGAGGACAACACAATATCGTAGTGTAGCAGCAGGAACACCACGGCATGAGGCTGTGTCCTCACCTCCCGAGTATAGGATTACACCCAAAAAAAAAGTTCATTTAATACCACAACATCCGAATTCGTAGTCGTGAGTGTGGGAGAGGGAGAGCCTGCCACTGGTTTAAGGTGCAGGTTGGAGAGGCAGTGTTAAGACTGTTTTGGAGAAGTTCCCGCCAGGCGCACGGCCATCTACAGACACATACCAGCAACACACTTTTTGTCTCAATATGACTTGCATGGGGCCTCTAGCCAGCACCTGCCACACGCCTCGTCCTACTGTTTTCCCACACCCAGCACGCATCTACTGTAGCTCCTCTCGTGTCTGTCACACCCAGCACATGCACACTTTATTGTAAAGCAGTAGTGGTGGTGCCTCAATGGTAGTGGTGGTGCCCCTGTTAGTGGTGGGTGCCCTGGTAGTGGTGTGTAGTGGTGGTGCCTGTGGTAGTGGTGGTGCCCCAGTGGTAGTGGTGGTGCCTCAATGGTAGTGGTGGTGTCTCAATGGTAGTGGTGGTGCCCCAGTGGTGGTGCCTCAGTGGTAGTGGTGGTGCCCCAGTGGTGGTGGTAGTGGTGGTGGTAGTGGTGGTGGTGGTTGGTAGTGGTGCCCCAGTGGTAGTGGTGTTGGGCCCCTGTGGTGGTGGTGGTGGTGGTGCCCCCCAGTAGTAGTGGTGGTGCCCCTGGTAGTGGTGGTGCCCTGTGGTGTGTGGTAGTGGTGGTAATGGTAGTGGTGGTGCCCTGTGGTAGTGGTGTGGTAGTGGTGGTGCCCTGTGGTAGTGGTGTGGTAGTGGTAGTGGTGGTACCCCAGTGGTGGTGGTAGTGGTGGTGGTGGTGTGGTGGTGGCCCAGTAGTGGTGGTGCCTGTGGTGGTGGTGTGGTAGTGGTGGTGCCCCAGTGGTGGTGGTGGCCTATGGTAGTGGTGGTGCCCCAGTGGTAGTGGTGGTGCCTCAGTGGTAGTGGCCCTAGTGCCCCAGTGGTAGTTGTAGTCCAGTGGTATCTTTGTTAGTGGTGGTGGTAGTGGTGGTGCCTCAGTGTAGTGGTGGTGCCTCCAGTGGTAGTGGTGGTGCCTCAGTGGTAGTGGTGGTGGTGCAGTGGTGCCTCCAGTAGTAGTGGGTGGTGCCCCTCAGTGTAGTGGTGGTGCCTCAGTGGTAGTGGTGGTGCCTCAGTGGTAGTGGTGGTGCCTCAGTGGTCAGTGGTAGTTGTAGTCCAGTGGTGGTAGTGGTGGTGCCTCAGTGGTGGTGCCTCAGTGGCAGTGGTGCCCCAGTGGTAGTTGGTCAGTGGTATCTTTGTTATGGTAGTGGTATGGTGCCTCAGTGGTAGTGGTGGTGCCCCAGTAGTGGTGGTGCCTCAGTGGTGGTGGTGCCTCAGTGGTGCCCAGTGGTAGTGGTGGTGCCTCAGTGGTGCAGTGGTGGTAGTTGTAGTCCAGTGGTATCTTTGTTATGGTAGTGGTGGTGCCTCAGTGGTAGTGGTGCCTCAGTGATAGCAGTGGTGCCCCAGTGGTAAGTGGTGGTAGTGGTGGTGCCTCAGTGGTAGTGGTGGTGCAGTGGTGGTGGTGGTGGTGGTAGTGGTAGTGGTGTGTAGTGGTGGTGAGTGGTGGTGCCCAGTGGTGGTGGTGGTGGTGCCTCGTAGTGGTAGTGGTGGTGCCCCAGTGGTAGTTATAGTCCAGTGGTATCTTTGTGATGGTAGTGGTGTAGAAGTAATAGTGATTATGGTAGTGGTGATGTGGTGTAGATGTAGTCAAGTGGGGTGCGCGTGTTCGTAGTAGTGATGACGGGGTTGGTAGTAGTAGTGGCGGTGAAGGTTGTTGTAATATGGTGCTGCTTCCTGTTAGTGTCACTGGTACAGGTAGTTGTATGATGGACAGTAACATGACGCCTCAGTACGGTAGTGTCCTGCCCGTCATACTGTTGATCACTGGGGGAGGGAGGGAGGGAGGGTGTACTGCATCAGTGTGGTGTAGCTGTTGTCTGGTGATCCCTGGCGGAGTTGTGGACGTTATGATAGACAGGTGTCCCCAGGCCCGTCGTCAGCAGGTGCCTGTGAGGGTAGCTGGGTGGCGGTGTGGCTCAGGACCTCCTCTACAGATACACTTTAGAGAACACATTAACAGCTGGACGGGTTAATCTTCTAAGAAAAAAATTAGCAGACCAGAATACTCGGACACCTTACCTGTTGATGACGTCGAGGCACAATGATAAGAAATTTTTTCACTTAATGATTCGTTCGGGTTTTGTTTATTTACAGTAAGTCGTTTCATCACATCATATAAGACATATTTAGTGTTGGTGAGACATGACTGTACCAAGACTGTGAGTGGAGGGAGGCGGTGGATGGCTGGAGACCTGCCCAGCTGTTCTTGTGTTCTCTAAAC